ATTCAAATACAATGAATGTGAAATAAGGAAAGCATAAAGTTAGAAATTCAATTAAGTACAATAAACAAAAAGTGTATCAAGTACACTGAACAGGAAAGAAAATGTCAGTCTCCAATAAATTCCAATGTTTTCCAGTTCTCCTATTTTGTCTGTAGTAGTGAATTAGTGAAAGATTCTCTGGCACTAGATCATACAAAAAAAGCAACACCAAATCTTTACTAGTTATTAATTAAATTAAAATCTCTATTTTTCTTTATTCTCAGTGTTTGATTGTAACTGTTCATTAATTCTCGTTATTTTATTTGATTGTACTTTTTGCGCATTGTTTATGTAATTTTACTTTCAATTGTAACAGTCGTGTTGTATGAAGGGAAGAGGCACTCGAGTTTATATTAACTTTCCTCTAGGCAGATGTAATTCGTTCATGTTGTATTAATGAAGTACCATCTCTATAAAAAAAAAATACTTGAGTAGAAATATAGTAGCTTGCACTTCTTGTTTGTATGGAGCATATTTTAACTTATACTTTAACAGGGTCACTGATTTAATGGTTAAAATTTGACCCATTAACCTCAATGTCGTTTGTTGAACCTAATAACAATCACTTTGTATATATTATTTGAGGCTTTTTTTTTCTCTTTATATAATTAGATACTACTTTTTTCTATATCTAACTATTTGTATAGAAAGTAATAACTTAAACTTGTAGTCTATGCAACATATTTTAAATTTACACTTTTTTATGGTCACTAATTTGTCCCAAAGATCTACTTTCCCATACCCCTATTATCTCGGCACAAAAATAGGTGTTATTTTATTTTTGATTTCTATTTTTTCGTGGCTTTTTTCTATAATTGGGCGTGATAAACAACAATTTCTCTTAAGATAACCATTTGTTTTGACCCTTAACCTATCTCAAGCATTGCATGGCAAACAACTAGTAACAAGCACTAGCTAGATGGCCTCTACATCTCATTAGATGATCATTGCATCCCTTTTGAAGGAGGAAGGGGAAAACAAAGGAAAAACACAAAGGTTCAAAACACGAAGAGAGAAAGAGAGAGAGAGAGACAGACAGACAGACAAACAGAGAGAGATGCAAGGCATATGAATTAACATATATCAAGAAAGGGCACCATGCGAGGACCTATAAATTGTGAAGACAAGTTATCGGATCATGAAGAAAAAACACCAAGAATATGAACTTCCACTAACCCATCATAAGCAGTGATGGATATGGGAATACAGGCAAGGAAAATCATCCTCTAAACGATCTTCATTCTTAAAGTTTGAAATTCTTTCTTATTAATTGATGAATACTCTCAAACTATATAGGTTTGCCACTAGAATTTTTTCATATGAGGCTAAATTCCTAAACCCGTCGCAAATCATCAACAAAGTTAGATGTATGAAAGCACAATGTACTCAAAATACCATTTAAAAAAAATACCAAAATAGATTTCATTGATGAACATTTGAAACTAGCTATAACTATGGACTCATGCAAAGAATACATCCCATGCATGATTCAGATTATCTCCAAAACCACAAAAATGTGGGGCAAAAAGCTTAATGGAGAAGAGTAAAAGCACCATCTAGTGAACTAGACAATTTTGAGAACATTAAGGGGGAGAAAGCTATGGAAAAAAATGAATGCTAATATACCTATTGGAAGAACATGAATGGTAATATACCTGATGATCCTTTCAACGTAATCTTTCAGAATGGTTTCCCAATGTGGACTCATTGCAACAGTACCATCAACAACGAGGACCAACCGTTTCTCTGCCATGAATTTCTCTGAAAGCCTATTTGCTTTACTGAAATAGATTGATATAGAGTAGAGAGAGACTGGGTGTGCGGGCGTAAAGAGACAGAGTTACGGTTTTGTTTGTATAAATGGACTTTTGTCGCTTTTGTAGGAATTTGTTCAAGCTGGATTTGGCTATTTTTGGCCACATATTTGCTACATTAATCACCAATCACACTGAACAAATAGAGGTTGGAGTTAAAGCCAATTTATAGCGATGATAAGTGTTCATTCGTTCAAACGATACATTGTAGATTTTAATCTCGGACTAAAGCAGCGATAATAGAGCCAAAAAAAAAATAGAGCAAAAAAATTTTTTTCTTTTTTTTTTTTTATTGAACAAAAACAATATTTAATCCACGGGAAAAATATTATTGATAGAATTGACTGAAAAAGTTCTCAAAACACACAAGCACAATCTTTAACTCATACTACATAGATACAATCTACAAAAATTCCCAAACCACTAAAGGTTTCCATAACGGACCTACGTCTATAGTTAAAGAAAGTCACTAAATAAAATAAAATAAAAAAAAACATGTCGTTTGTATTTTAGGAAAATTTGCATGATTTAGACAGTTAATTTCTCTGAAATGAAATATATTGTTCATAGTATCCTAAATAATTAAGAATAAAAATCTTAAAAATTACTAATGTCACACTTTGATCTAGAGATAGAACATTATGTCCAAATCCAGTAGAGTGGGCCCCTCTCCCGGAGACACTTGTACCCTGCATATATAAATTGTCATCTTAAAAAATAGGACTTTAAACTAATTAGTTACAGCAACATAAATTTACTCCTTTTATATTTCAACAATTCTTTTCATGAAATAATACATGTACAATCGTAATTTAAAACAATGTATAGCTTCCCAATTACCAAATGTCCTCACAAGGCACAGGAAATCCACTTTCTTCTTATACTGCCTAGACTCAACAGTGGACATCCCCTTTCTCTTTGTTTACCTAAAAAACATACACTAAGGGGGGTGATCACACACGCTTTGTGAGTGTATATAAGAAATCAACAACAATAGCAGATAATGCATAGACAATTATTATCTTCCTAATAAGTAAACTGCATTTTAAGTAGTTAGACATAAACTTCTTTGTCTCTTGAACAATCTTACAATACGTCATTACCAGTTAGCATCTCATTAGAGTTATATCAATACTTTTCACTCAACTGTTCTTGTCTTACAGACTAAATCCACCATGCAGGCTACATATCTGTCATTTTGACAATATCGGCCCCACTAGCCATATAACTGTTATTAAATGTATTATTCGACAATAAGGTTACTCATAATAATCACAATCATGTTATGACCAACAAGACAAACTACACAACTATTTATTAACGACAAATAGCACAAGCCTTTAAGGCACCATCATTCAACAAATCATTCATATTGCATTTACATATTTGTTCACCCAATCACATATCAACTCACTCAATGGTCTTCAACCATGTTAATAATATGATGGAGCTTATTTATAGTACCAATCATAAGCAATAATCCACCTCATTACACAATCCATAACATATAAAGCACATTTAAACTAATCTCATGCACACACAAGAAATACACCCACCTCAAGTCTCAATGTCGTATAATCCCCGTACTCGGATGAGATCTTAAGCATTCCTATCGTAGAAGTTGACACACCTGTTCCTACCACACATCATAATCACCACATATAAATACCTTCCACGTATGCATTTAATCTTAATTATGCATACATAGCTATGTATTCATTCCCGTGTTAACATATTCCTCAACTCTCTTCCAAATGGTGCACTCTTAACCACCCTAAACTTTACTCATCTGTTACCCGCTTTACTCACTTCAATTCTAGTTTGAATCTTCATTCTATGTATTTGTAAGCCAGGAAACCTGATGATGCACAAATTATTTTTTCACACCACTTGTCAAATGACTGATAATTAATGCAGTAATTAAGTAGAGAGATAGTAAGAGTGTAACAAGAATAGGGAGATACAAGCTATGAGAGAGAGTGGAGAGTGATAGCAGATGTGCTCGATTGTGTGTCATGCCCCCCAAGTGTTGGTGGAGTTTATAATTTATAGTCGCCTCCTAAAAGATTGAGGCGACTTATCAGTAACTAAAAGGCTAATTTGGTGGAGTTGGTGTCATCTTCTTAACGAATGAGGCAGTTACGGCGCTTCCCATAGGATTCGGTCAAAGGTTGACGTGGTGGTTGACTTTTTCCAAGGTAGCGTGGATGACGCTCTTGGATGACACTGCTTACTCCCTTAGTGATGTAGCTCCTCGAACCTTGATGAGCTTAATGGGGTGTGGATTCCCTTGGATTAAACCCACTGGATCTCTTTTAAGTTGGGCTTTTAATTTAAACTAGGCTCGCAATGTAGGTTAGGCCCTTGGATTTGACCCATCATTTACACCTCAATGCCCTGTGTCCAATTAAATTTGGAAGGAAGGCATTCGATTGAGCCTAGATTTTGGATGAACCCAAAATTGGAAAAACTTCAAAAAGCCCAAACACATGTTTCCAGCCTTTTTTGGGATTTTTATGGTGTTCCTCATGGTCGTAGGTGATGAGTCTTGTACGACTCATCATAAGCTTCGGTTTGATTTATTGTAGGCCCTGTTTGGAGAAACGGATCAAAAGTTACAATCAAAACAGTTTCAACCCTTTTTGAACTTGAATTTCTCAAAGACTCCTTTTGGCTAAAGACTCGTTTCCTTCCTGATATGTAAACTCCTTTTGTCTGTAGGACATCTTCAGCTATATAAACTCCTCATTTTACTTCCCCTTTTGGACTCTAGAAGAGCCCTAGGTTATAAATTGGGGTTTTTTTCCCTTTTTTCATTCCATACTAATTTGAGAGAGAGAGAGAATGAGAACGCTTTCTTGAAATCCTTTAAGCACAAAGTGAAGAGGTCAAATTTTTTAGTTGAGCATTTAGTACAACATCGATCGAAGGAGAAGATGTGCAAGAGTTCATAAATCTTGGTGAAGAGGTTGGAAAGATCAGTGTTGTCCTAGGAGCACAGACTAAACCCTTGAAACAAGCAAGGCGTTCGGTGTCAAAGCAAAGAATGGGAGGAGAAATGGAAGCGAGGAGAGCATATACAAGGCGTTATAGGCGTCCCCAAGGCACCATGGGTGCCATTTGGTGTGGCGATCCGGGCACTGATCCATGGGCAAGCTGGAGGGGGCACCAAAGAGGGGGCACAAATTAGTGAGGTTGAAGCTCCAAGGGTCGACGCTAAGGGTGAGACGATGCTAGGTAAGATACAACTTACATCGGGTGCCTACTGAGAGGTGCCTATGGTGTTGGGCGCTGCTAGAGAGGTGCCTATGGTGCTAGGCGCTGTTGGAGAGACGTCTATGGTGTTGGGGGCTGCTTTAGAGGCGCTTATGGTGCTGTTTGAAGTAGGACTGGGACTCCGACGCATTGGGCAAGGATTGGTGAGCGCTAATATGGCCCTAGGAGACACTAGGCTCGGTCAGGTAAATGCGCAGATGGTGCCGAGGGCCACTAGGCACAATCAAGCGGTGTTGTGTACAATTGGGTCATATTGTTGGGTGAGTCAAGTGAGGTGGAAGTACACAACAGATGGATCTTAGCGAGCAGAGAGTTTGCCAGGTATTCTTGGTGGCACTAATTCTGGTCAAATGATGAGTAATATGGCCCGCTCAGGTGGAACTCCACAAAGTAAAATACCTTAAAGCTATCCTAGTAGTGGCCTAGGCAATGCTTCTCGCCCTGGTAATAGCAAACATCGGGGGAAGGTAGCTCTTGATGACGGATCAAAAGTGAGTGTCATTTCTAGTACCTTTAACACTGACTCTGATATTCTGTAGATTATTTCCACTTATAATATTCTCCTAATGGTACTATATCGTCGAGCTGAGATGGGTGAGCCTACTTGCGATGACTCCTTTGGAGACATCATTATCTATGAGGAGGCACTTGAGGCTAGGCTGAGGTTCCCAATGTATTCTTCTGTTTGTCATATTCTGCATGTTTTTCACTAGCACTAAGGCGATTGGTGCCCAATGGTTGGAGAGTTTTTTTGGGATTTCTGGCACTGTGGAGAAAAGTGCATCATGAGGATACTTCTTCTAAAAATTTTTGTGTAGCTTATACTCTGAGTATGACTCCTGTTCCCAATCGTGGCTGGTACTACTTTGCTCTGAGGGGAGGTAAATTGATTGTCGGGTTGCACTTTAACTGTTATGCCTTAAAGGCTCGTTTTATATTTGTTGGAGGAGAATGGGCCTTAGAGGCTGACAGAACTTTTGTACCAACAAAATGGAACACCCCCAAGAGACTTGGTATGCCCACACTTATTCTTTTTCCTTTGTCTTTTTTACAAATGTGTACTCATTACATCCCTTACATGTTCTCCAGTGCTCTCAAAGGATCAAGAATGGAAGTTACAGGCTGTGAGGACTCACCCCGTAAAGGACTTTGGGCTCTCATGCTCAAAGAGGGTAAAGTTAATAACTCTTCTATTGGCGGTGCTAGGGTTGGTGCACCATCTTCCAAGCCTAGTGGTTCCTCTTTAAAGAGAAAAGGTATTCTGATTCCCTTGTATTCTCCTCCTTTACTTGGTTTTTCATCTGCATAAACATTTTATCCCTCTTGTAGTGGATAGAACGGTGGTAGAGTCTCGTTATTCCACTAGGAGTACTCCTCCTCCTAAGGTGGCGAGGATGAGCGATGCTTTGGCGAGCTCCTCTCAGATGACCCTTCTGGTGACGCCTCCTCAGTTAGCCATGCTTTTAGAGGTGATCGTCACTTCGGAGACTCCCCTGTCAGCCACACCTCCTATCCCCCGTTCATCGACTCCTCCTGTGGGAACTTTTACAGGAGCACCTGCTCAAATTGGCTCTATATTGAGTGATGTGCGAGTCGTCAGGGAGCAACTTGAGAGGTTTGTGTTTTCGACAGATGTTAATGAGATTAGTACTCGGAGCATCGAGGGTTTCATCTACACTTTTCTGGAAGGTCTAGCTCATGTAAGGGTCTATTTTTTCCCTTTCTCCAGTCCCTCCTTAGGCACTAACATTCTTTTGTCTTTTTTAGATTACAGTTGCTTCTGTGTGTCTTTTTTCAAGAGCTGTTCATTTTAGCCAGCTGAAGCAGAGTCATAAGGCTATGCAAAAGGAGCTTCTTACTGCTCAAGGGAGGATTGCTGCGCGTGAAATTGATGGTAGGGCTTCCGAGACTAAGCTTATGGTTACCCATGAGAGAGCCATGTTTAGAGAGGCTGCTTGCACGAGGACTCAAATAGAGCTTTTAGCGACCTGCGAGAGGGGCGCTAAGCTTGAGGCTGAGCTTTTGGCTACCATGAGAAGGACGCGCTCAGAGAGGCTAAACTTGTGGCGACCCGCTTGAGGGCCGCCCTCAAAAAGGCTGCCTGCTTGAGAGCGGAGGCAAAGGTGAAGGCAGCTCGAGAAAGGGTTTCTCAGACTTAGGTAGATCTATTATTGGCACGTGAGAGGGGAGTTAAGGCTAAGGCTTATTTAGAGAGTGACCTTGCAGATGTCTTCATTGATGGCTACTAGGAGTTTCAGGAAAAGATTTCTGTTGTTTTCCCTGATATTGACCTTTTAGGCTTTGTGTCATATGAGGCACCTGATGAGGCTGATGGTGATGATGACTTTGACAATACAAAGGGCGAGGACAAGGAGAATGGCAGCCATGAGAGTAGTTAGAGTGCTGAGGACTTATTGATTTTATTTTATTTTAGAAAAGCAGTGTGTAGCCTTCTTTTGTAAAAGTGATTTTTTGCCACTGATATTCTTTTGAAATAGAATGCAAAGAGCTCTTAGAGTCAACTTAGAAAATTATATTCAATGACTGCTTATGCTAAGCAATGGTGGGTAATAACCCAAAAAAGGAACAGAAAATAAATCAACTTCCGTAACTTTACTATTTCTACTCTCCAAAGGTGTCATTGGTAGTACCTCTTTAGGTGCTCAACATTCCATGGATAGGGTAAGACCTTCCCCTCAAAATTCTGGATCATATAAGTGTTTGGCCTCACTACTTCTGTTATAAGGTAGTGTCTTTCCCAGTTTGGTCCAAGCTTCTCTTCTCGTGAATCCTTTGTGGCAAGGATTACTTTCTTGAGGACTAAGTCTCTAGGTTGGAACAAACGAGGCTTCACCGTTGTAATCCGTATTACGCACCATCGTCATCTCTCTTTCCTCTTCCACCAAGTCAAAATTGATGCAAAGTCCTTCCTCGTTAGTGATGGGGTCGTGGTGTTGGATCCTTAGAGAATATACCCCGATTTTCACAAGTACAACTGCCTCAATTTCAAAGGCGAGTGAGAAAGGAGTTTCTCCAGTCGGAGTCCTTGGTGTGGTTCGATAGGCCCATAATACACCTAGGAGTTCATCCACCCAGAAACCCTTTGCTTTTTCCAGCCTCATCTTTAGGTTGCGTAGTACTATTCTGACTGTGACCTCTACCTGCCCGTTCGCTTGATGAGTAAGGCTGCTTTATTTGGAGGTCGGTGCAGAATGAGTTCAGGAGCTTGTTGTCGAATTGTTTAGCGTTGTCGCTAACTATGTCATGGGGCACCACAAAGTGACAAACCAGGTTCTTTCAGATGAAATCTTTGATCTTTGCATCTGTTATCTTTGCTAAGGGTTCGGCCTCCGCCCACTTAGCGAAGTAATCGATCATCACCCCCACGAACTTGTACTACCCTCTACTTAGAGGTAGGGGGCCCAAGATGTCGATACATCATTTGAAAAAGAGCCATGGATTTGTGATGACTATCAGCTCTTCTGGTGGCTATCTAGGAATGATGGCGAAGCGCTGGCATTTTTCGCAATTCCTGGTGAACTCCTAGGTGTCCTTCACTATGCTAGGCCAGAAGTAACCCCTGTCTGAGTGCCTTGTGGGTAAGGGAACATCCTTCAGAGTGGTTTCCACAAACACCTTCATGGATTTCTCGTAGGGCATAGTTAGCTTCCTCTAGGGAGAGACAACGAAGTAATGGTTGGAAGTAGCCCTTTTTGTACAGGATATTCTACAAAATGGTGAACTTAGAAGCTCTCATCCTGAGCTTCTTGGCATCCAACGGGTCATCTGGCAATGCGTCATCCTAAAGGTCTACCCTTATTTGGGTCATCTAGTTCGACTCGACAGATGCATATTGACGTTTGTGGCCTCCACGTCCCGCCTGCTTGGTTCGAACTAGTGACCGATGAATGTTGGCCTTAGTGGGGCTTACGAGGATGAGACGATCCTGGCCAATGCATTTGCAGCAAAATTGTCTTCCCTCGGGTTATGACAGATCTGAAAATAGTGGAACTTAGTTAACAAGGCTTGCACCATAGTAAGGTACTCTTGCATTCTAATTCCTTTTACTTCGAACTCGCCCTTCACTTGATTGACTATCAACTGAGAGTCACTATAAATGTTAAGGTGTTGGGCTTCCATTTCAATAGTCAACCTTAAGCCAGAGAGGAGGGCTTCATAGTATGCCTCATTGTTGGAGGTAGTAAAGTGGAGCTTCACAACATACTTGATAGAGGTGCCATCGAGGCTAATCAGGATTAGGCCTGCTCCACCTCCTTCACTAATCGAGGAGTCATCCATGTAAAGCTCCCCAAGAGGTGGTAGAGAGGGGGCCTTAGAGGTCGTGATGGGTGCCGGGGCACCTACTTTCTGTGTCAGCACACCTTGGGCACCCCTGTAGGGTGCCAAGTTGTCTTAGGCGCCCAACCTTGGTGCCTGAGTGTCTGGGTGAGTTTCTAATGAGGCTTCCTGAGGTGTCAAGGGTTCGCTGTCCTCCTCCTCTGCCGGTGTGAGCTCCGCAATGAAGTCAGTCAATGTTTGTGCTTTGATGGCAACCCTTAGTTGGTACTGGACATCGAACTCACCCAGCTCTACTGTCCATTTAAGGAGTCTTCCTGAGACGTATGGCTTCCCCAAAACCTTCTTTAGAGGCTAATCAGTGATCACGACGATGGGGTGACTCTGAAAGTAATGTCGGAGGCGTCTTGTTAGTGAAATTAGGGCAAGCGCCAGCTTTTTCGACCCCTGAATATCTTATTTCTGCTCCTCGATATGCCCTATAGGCTTTTGCACTCCTTCGTTGTCCCTGATGAGGATGGAGGTTACTGTCGATAAGGAAGCAAAGAGGTATAAATATAGAGTTTCACCTTGCGTAGTATGTGAAATGAGCGGTGGCATAGCCAAATAAGGTTTGAGCTTTTGAAAAGCTTCTTCTACCTCAGTTCCCCACTCAAAGGCTTTTTGGAGAATCTTGAAAAAGGATAAACACTTATCTGTAGACTTAGAGACAAATCTGTTGAGTGCTGTAATTCTTTCGTTAAGGCGCTGGAATTCCTTGGTTATGGTGGGTGATTTCATATCTAGGATGGCTTTGATCTTGTCTTGATTTGTCTTAATTCCCTCTAGTTAACCATGAAGTCCAAGAATTTTCCTGATCCGATGCCAAAGGCGCACTTCTCAGGGTTCAACTTCATGTAGTAAGACCTGAGAACATTGAAGGTTTCTTGAATGTGGTCTGTTACGATGAGGCTTTTTACCAGCATATCATCCATGTATACCTCCATTGTTCTCCCGATCTAAGATT